TCTAAGCTATATGCGAACATCCGTGCCTCTATCTGTCTACTAAACTAATAATAATGATGTGAAAATTTAATAAATATACATTTCATGCCATTCATAAGACAATCATCCATCATTAATAAAAAAATTCAAAGAAAATTATATGTACATCCTTTGGAGTTATTTTTGTTTTTTCAAAACTTTTACTCATTAATTTTTCCATCGTTTCGAGAGTAAATCAACTTTAAAGCCATATGAAGACATTATGTATATGTAATCCAGCCTTATACTTGTTATTATTAGAATATGTTACTTATTGAACGAACGACTAAAGTGTCCGTATTAGAAAAACTTGCAAATAAAATGAATAAACGTTCTATTCATTCGATAGATACTAATAAAAAATGAATAAAAATTAAAATCAAAAAAAAAAAGGAAAACATAAATAAGTGAAGCGCATCGTTACAGACAGGGTCTAAGCTGGATGTAAATGTATTCTTCAATATATTTAAGTGTTCAATACGAATTGAAAATATAATTCTGGTGTATTGGCGACACAATTAATACTTTTGTTCTTTTTTTGCCTTCTAACAAAACAAAAAACAAAGATTTAAAAAGAAAACAATTCAAAAATTCAAATTAAGTGGACTAAGAAGCAGCATCAAACTGCACTATCTTATGTAGATGTCAAATTGTTACGAAGGATGTTTGACTCCGATAAGTTCTACTTGCTTTCTTGCCACCTTGAAACATTAGGTTAACACATCTTCGGGAACGATGAGCAAATTGACAAATAATTTGGCATTAATCGAAAAAACCGTTGAACAAAATAATGTAAATGAACAGATTTCAAATCCGACCCGATAATTATGCAGAGACTGCATTATTGAATGAATACACAAACTTTGACTTTTTCCAAGCTGAATATTTTTTATGTCCATTGTTCGGTTGATAGAAGCATTACACACTTACTGGTCGGACATATGCACTCGCTAGTTATAGCCATTCAATATCTCTCGCTCGATCGCTTTCCGTATCAATGCTCCTTCCTCACCAAAAAAAGTGCCTAATAATCACTTATACGAGTCCCAATCTCGTTTTACTCAAGGATGGGATGCATGGTTTCCTCAAAATTCTCTGCCCATAAGTAAGGCCAAAGCTCGAGTTAATTTGCAAGACTGTGTCAAATTTCATATCATAAATGTCATTAGTGTCAATCGATCATAAAAGGCATTGTTACGGGAAATGCAACTTGGATCCTATGTATAGGACTCGGAAACAACAGACAACGTGCAAATGCCAAATCCGAGAAAACCGCGTTAAAGGAGCTCAACAATCAAGCCGATGTTCACAGTTTTTTTTTTTTATTGCCGTGGTGTTGTATACTATGCTCATGAATTTCTTCCGCTGGGACAAACTGTTAACAAAGAACACTATTTGAACGTTATGTGTCGTTTCGCTATTCGTAGCAAGAGACAGAATAAATTTAAAAAAGAAAAAATTAAATTGGTCTTACTTTTTAGACACAGTAGCGTATTTTTATGAGTGACCACGAGCGAAGAGTCAATTTATATTAATTGCATTACTTTCGAGAAAACTTGACAAACATATATCACCGTGAGGTTTTAAAGCATTTAGACGCGCCTTTGAATTTTTCGCAATCAAAATTTCTAAAAAAAAATGAACCAAAGCCTAAAACATATCTTATAAATTTAGTGATTTAGTTTTACTGATCAAATTTAAAAATGGATGTGATCATCCCATGAAGAGCTAGGAAAAATAAATTTCAAAATCAATTGAAAATATTGATAACATATATTAAGCAAATCCGCGAGAGATGGAAGGACCGAGATGTTCCTCTTTGATCTCAATACATGGATCGCCTTCAATCACAGAAAAGTTTTCTATGATCTGTTCGTTACTTTTCTTTGCCCCTAATTTCTTTGCTATATGGCGAAGAAAGAGCTTATGCTTCATTTTTTATGTTCCTTTTATTAATTACCTTATCTAGCTTTGTCCAACAGTCATTTCACCCGCCTGTGTATTCATTCAGTTTACTAAACTGACTTGCAATAAGTCTTAAGCTAACTAAGGCCTGCAAAAATAAGCCAAGAAATCTGAACATTTTCATCTACATTTCGCACTTCCGCTAGCAGATCTAATATATGTAGTTGAATCGCTTGAAACTTTAGAAAAATGTTTTCCTCTTCGCGTGATCTTCATTAATAAAAATAATAAATTTCTGGATGTCATGAGTATATTGCATAATAAGAACGATTATATAAAGCTTCCATTGTCGTATTAAAAATTCGAAATTGTGTTAAGATTGCGAATAAGTCATCAGCCGAGTTTCAAGTTTAGAGATTTACGGATTTCTTAATAAGTGATTTAAATTTACTAATTATCTACTTGTCGTTATAATCACTGCATTCCTCACCTGTTCAGTTTTAAGCAATTAACAAATAACTTAATATTATTGTTATAAAAAAATATTATATTTTCTTATCAAAACAGATAATGTTTATTTATAAATGAAATTGCTTGCAATGCATGGACTATGGTGATTAATTTGATGTATTGATAACTAATGCAAACAAACACACACACACACACACACATATATATATGCATTTATTTACGTAAACGTATAACTATATATATGTAGATATGTTTGATTCATGATTAAAATTAGAATCAAAGGCAGACTATGAAATAACACAACAAATAAAAGAACAGATGAATTTAAATAAACAGTAATTGAAGAGCAAACAATTGCAATACAGTTCACTTCAAGGAAAAGGGGTCTTGTTCACTGGCGTCATCTAAATTATAAACAAAGTTTGCACCGCAAAGCACACTAAATTCCGTTGACGATACACGTTTCATCTAACCTTAGAGATTCATTTTAGAAATACTTTCTTTTCAAGTGCTTAAAATACGCCGTCATATCAAGTACATTCATGATAAGAATATATCAAAATTGTCTTCTTCTTTCAAGCTTATTTGAGTTCACTGCGAAGGTCTCTTCAAAAATTTCCCATTTATCGCATTTTGTCGAAATTCAAAGATCGCCATATATCTTTGTTTTAGTCTAATTAATCACCAAAACCATGTCCATTCGAATTAATTATTTATTTCAATAAATAGTTATGCGATAAGATGGACGGACAGCAGTATTGTCCAGATATTTCTAAGAAACTTATGCCTGCCTGCCGTAGAATTCTCGCTAAGCTCAAAGGCCTCCTTCAAGCTACTCATTTCTATTTGGTATCCCGGCACTCGGAATATTTCTTGATGGTGTAGTGCGTTTTATTCATGCATAGTACTTTTCGGATATATATTATATTTTTCATATATAACGAACGAAATAACAAATGAAAAATATTCCAAAAATTTATGTGTTTCATAGAGAAAGCCTTTGCAAACAGCATTACATTACAGTATATAACAATATTTTTAAATTTCAGCTTAAAAGCACAGCTTTGCCCACACTCTGCTTCTATTTATTCCAAGTCTCTTGTTATCGTTTGTAATGTAAATGAAGTACAAAAAAAAACAAGTAAATAACAAATCACACTTTGCCTTCGGATAGATCTTTGATATCCACTCACCCACACAAACACAAATACAAAACATATTTTTAATTACGGTCGCATCGATTGGTTGACTACACAAATGCAGCTTTATTTACTTAATGTGAGTTCCTCTGTACGCAAATCGCAAACATTGTTTGCCTGAAATTTCATACAGCACCTGAATAGATGTGTATTTGAGACGATTGTCACATTCTATCCGCGGTCACCAATGTACGCAGACTGAGAGATCGGCAAATCCCCAAAAAAGCAAAAAAATATCTTACAAAACTATTTGTTTAAAAGGCAAAGTATTTTTCAAATATTTCTTGCCTTCTTTTCTTTATTTATTCATACATCAGAACGTACAGTAATGGTTATTAAAGTCGACTTTCAGCGTACTTCGCACGCACACTCAACTAATCTCCCCGAGCTATTTCTTCTACAGCCGGCATAATCTGATGATGATATGTTTGTGTTTTCATGAAATCGTTATGAAGTGCTCAGAGCTCCAGCCGGATTCCTACTCAGGTATTGTCCGGTTATAGAAAAGTGAGGTTAGTTCAATTTCTTGAAATGTTCTGTAAACATATTTGAAACCTGTACTAACCCTTCCAGAATTAAATGGTAGACGTTCGTAAGTTGCGAGATCAAAACATATAACGACAAGTTGCAAAGTGACCCTAAAGGGAAGAAGAAGCAGAATTTTGAGCTTAGTATGGAGTAAATTTAAAATGCAATTTGAAAAAGCAATGAGCATAAATGAACGGAGCGATCAGGAATGGGAACGATTTTCGTTTTTATCCATTAGCTTTCAAGAGTACTTTAACGCAATAGAAAATAATTTGACATTATCTTGTGAACTGCAAGGCCGGTAAAGTATGCGCTAAAAATCTTGCAATTTAAACCTACATAGGTCCTTTTACAGCTCAAGCTCGATTTAGTCCTGTCTTCATTATCGTATAGTTCAACTATCCACCATGCTACTGTCATTTTTACAACTCTGCCATAAAGCTTGTACAGTCGCTACACTTCAATTCCATCGCCGTAAGAGAGACAATTGGTTTAGAACAGCTACCGAGAAAGTAAAAGGCAGATATAGTTAAACATTTCACGAAAGCCGTAGGTAATCACTAATTTATCTATCGCTTCTAGATGACCATATGCCCTCTCAAGGCTATCGTAGGCTTGTTGTATATTCGGTCGAATTTTATGCAATTCTGTATTCAAAAAATGGAATTTAAATCTGCAGTTGGCTGCAGATCTGCGCTATTCTTCATTTACTTTCATATGGCACAACAACATTCTTTTGATTCTTTTTATTAAAATATTTATTTATATTTAAATTTTTAATTTCTTCTTTTTTTTTTAATTTTCACGATTTCATTCTAAATTAAAAGCACATTTTACAAAATGCAGTAAAAATAATAGATAGACTTCACGAGATGCACGTTAGTCAGTTGTGTTCTCAACACGCTCTATAAATGTTTGCAGTTCGTCACAGTCTTTTACGTTAGCTTCACCTGACGCTACTTTCGCAATGAAAGCTTGCATTATAAAGGGTAGCCTTTCCTTCGCATTCATATCATGCCATACAACCCGGGAATACTCGTTTAATTTCTTTATAGACATATTACTGCTATGAGGCATAAACGTTAAATAGAAATGTTGAAAATTTTCAATAGGATCGTATGAAATGTCCTTATCGGATAGCGCAGCCCAAAAGAATGGAATCTGTTGGTGCAATTTCAGGTTATCCCACTTGATATATTTATATTTACCTCTTCTGCCACGCATTTTATTAAAAAGCTTTTTTGCCTTCTCCTCAGTTTCAAGTTTTTCCCTCATTGACATTTTACTGCATTTCAAGGCTATGTTGAGAAAGTTATTACAAAATATCAAGGCAGCTTTGTTAATCGAATCACTTGGATTTAAAAGGAATAACTCCGCGTCTGCTGTAGAGCGATGAAGTTCACTAACACGCATGTTTCTATTGTTAGGATCGTTCCCATTATCGTGATCATCATTTTGGATGATGGTACATTCACTGGACTTGGACGTAGACGGTCGATACTCAGCCGGGTGCCCTTCATCATTGTAACTGCGAACATATCCACTGCTATTAGGACAATAGCTATTGTTGCGAACAATTTCCTCATCTTCCTGTTCGTTATTTTTGTTCGATTCACATTCTTCACATCTGTCGCAAGCAGTTTCGCTAATCGAATCACTTGGACTTAAAAGCAATAACTCCGCATCTGCTGTAGAGCGATGAAGTTTACTAACAAACATGTTTCCAATGTTGGGATCGTCCCCATTATGGTTACCATCATTTTCGATGATGATACAGTCGCTGGACTTGGACGTAGACGGTAGACACTCAGCCGGGTGCCCTTCATCATTGTACTTGCGAACATATCCACTATTATTAGGACAATAGCTATTGTTGCGAACAATTTCCTCATCTTCCTCTTCACAATCACTTTCAGCAACGTCGTAAGCATCGTTATAGTCCTCGTTAAAACTATTCTCACTATCCGCACTAGTATCAAGGTTGCAATAAGTTCTTCTTTGACATTTTCTCCTCTTCGCAGCCTTGTCAATTGTTTTAGGTGTAGGTCTTTTCGCATTTTTGGTCTTTTCAATTTCCCCTTTCCCATCTTTACCTGACATTTCAATGGAGGAATTTTTTGTTTGAAGCTCCTCACATTTAAAAGGATTACAAAACAATGTCAGCAAATCGAATTGTAGAAATCTTAAGAAACAATCCATTATAGTATTGATATCCCAACGCCAAGCGCGTTATGGGAATATTTTTGCAAAAATGTATAAATCCTATAAAAATTAATGTTTTTTTTTTTTTAATTAAACAAATTTCAGAGAGAATTTTGTGCACAATTCGCCGACCAAAAATAAAATTCTTACATAAAAAATTAATTTTAGTTGACAAAATGTGCAAAGTTGGAGAAGATTTTGAAATACTTTTCAAGGTTGAATTATGAAAATAATATATTCATGGAGAATGAGTATGAAGTGCCATAAAGCGATTGAGTGAAGAAGATTTTGAAATACTTTTCAAGGTTGAATTATGAAAATAATATATCCCTGGAGAATGAGTATGAAATGCCATAAAGTGGGTTTCCATACAGGTAAGATCGCTTGCAATTCACCGGATCGTGATCTACTTCTTATTAATAACATTAACGAATATGTTTACGGGCTTTTCCACGTACGCTTGCTTTTCACTTTTGACCGCACATCGCTAAAAGATATATCTTCTGAAATCAAGCAAGCGGCATTGACGCCTTTCCATTGTACTTTTTTGAAATCTTCTTTATTTGAGACGGTACTTGTAAAAACTAGAAATTGACCAACGACCTGTTGAGTGAGTACTTCTAACAGGCGTTTTCCTTTCTAAAAAACTTTTGGCAGCAAAAGTGTTTCGTTTTTATGTTGTGACTCTCCTTACTCCCGTAGAGAGATAAGTAGATATCTGCGCAGACAAATTGCTTTTTAGAAGGTAGGTGGGTACTTAGTCATGTCTCATGCCTCTCATGCCCTGGCTAGTTCTCAAACCTATAGGAACTTATATAATATATATTTACATCTGCCTCAGTTTTATTATTATCGTCTAGCAGAGCTACTAATGTTCCCGCTGAACCAAATGGCTGTTGCTTGGATAGTACAATGGGCTGTTCAAGCAAACTCAAAAAAAGACGAAATCCAACAAAAAATTTCCTCTCAATACGTTAAACACTTTACGCATGCATGCATTATGTATGTCTCTAGCTATGTTGCCTTTGCTTGTCTCAGCTTGACGTTCATATAAAATTGATCTTAAAAAAAAAAAAAAAAAAAAACGCGATCAATCCTCTGGTGAAGGTCACGTGCTCCGTCAATTACTTATTGATTTCATCAATGCATTTCACATGAGTTGAATTTTTTCATCTCTAAAATCATAATAAAATTTATTTATAGAATTGATAAGAATCAATTAAACTTTTAATTGCACCAATTGCATGCATTAGTACATTTTCTAGTGAGGCGGTTTTTCAAATATCAAACAAATGAATGAATAAAATAAGTAACAAAACTATTTTTGCATCTAAGTGTACTTCAATTGTTTGCTAAATTCAATTCGATCATAACGCAGCTAAAGTGATTTTGTTTAATTGACCGATTAGAATATTCGCCTCCATATGAGCGCGTTCGAAAGCTTTCCAAACATAATCTAGCGACTTTTAGAAGAAGTAAGGCAATCAATTATCTGCTCAACGCCAGAATTTTAAGCAATCAATTATTTATAATAATTGCATGTAAACTATCGCAACGTTCAATAGTGATATGATAATGAGAAAATAATGCGTTGCCTAGTAGCAATTCGTGAAGGGCAGCGATAGCAGAAATATTCATCGCCACCGAATCGTGAGATGTGATACCTGATTTATCCTTTCATATGTAGCCTTAGGGACGGCTTAAAGTGCAGTAAAGTCGCAGTAGAACTCTAGGTCGATTTAAATCTCTCCGTTGGACTGTACGTTAGCTGGCTCTTGTCTTGTAGGGGCGAAAATTGTGGCAATAAACTAAAGTTTCGCGTATGCGTCATTGATCGTTACACACGAAGTTGGGGAAACGGCTTCATGCACAAACGTGAAAAAATAAACTTAGCCCCCCCCCCCCTCCGCCCCTACCGCCTACCGCGTGTAGCCAACCTACAAAAAACTCAAACCTTCGACCCATAACAGATGTTGACAGCAATTCCCTTTAGGGCTTGTTTAACGTCCTGCGAAAAAAATAATCGCATTTGGTTGACTACTACGCCCACACTTAGGAAAATATTCTAATGTAATTCTAATGTACTTTGTTTTGCGTATAACAAAGATTCACTCTAAGCCAAAGATTAATTGCTTGTTAATTTTTCAAACTCTCCGTGAACATTAATTATAGTGAAAAAACATCTGCTTCGATTCTCGAAAAGGGCGAGACTCATATATTCATTTTTAGACTCATCCAATGTTTACCTTACCGAAGGAAAAAATTCCAAACTTATTTTCATTTTGCAGTAGGTTAGGTATACAGAGGTAAGTGTATGCAAAAAAAAATTATGCATAGACTTATCCATACCAATGCATTATGTATGAGTATGTATGAGTGCTTATTAAACAATATACATATATACATGCATATTCAAGCGTTCGTAATCAATGTCTTTAAGCAGTATAAGAAAAAATTCGGTTTACTTTCCTTTAAAAGCAACAAGTGCAACAACACACACCATACCACATTCACGGAACCTTTCTTTTGTAAACAAAACAAAATGTTTTGTTTGTAAACAAAACATTGCACTCATCGAATCTCTCTCTTCTCTCTCTATCCCTCTACCTCGCTCTCTTTCTCTTCCGCTAGATATTCCGGTTTACTCTTTTTGATTTGCTTTTAAAAATAGCATAAATTTAATTAAATTACTTACCCGTTCTCCCTATCACCCTTTGTATGATTTAAGAATACGATCACAGAGATGTGATTGGATTTACTAATTGACACCCCCTTTATCAATCATTATTTATGTAAGTATTTGGTTTTTTTTTTTTATCGTTTTCTTATTCGAATTGAGCGTTGATAGTCTTGGCAACGGAACGGAGTAGGAGAAATGAAGACTCGACTTACTCCTCTCTTATCAGCGGTCGAAACTATAATAATATTTTTTTAAGTAATAGAATACTTGAGTTGTTTCTTGATTCGCTTTTCATTATAAATTATGTTATCAACATTATTTTCATTGGTACGCAATGAACTTTGATCCTGAGAACGGATAATAGTTGTATTTCAAAACTAATTTATGCCTTTATTAACACTTATACTGATCTAAAATAATTTCGTATCGATAACATTTACAAGTGAATATGATTTCAAATTATATTTTCTTTTTATTTTCATTTTAATAAATTTATTACTACAAAGAACGTCAAATTATTCTGCATTAAACGTCACCACCGCCTTCTATGCGATTCGTTTGATATCTCACGCACAACTAACAATGAAAAATTCACTATGAAAAGCTTTATTTCAATTTTCAATTTTTGCACTTGTTATTAGGGTGACCAACCGCCAAAAAAACAATGCTCATAAATATGCCCGAGATGTGTGTTAATATTCCCTTATTTGCTATATATATCCCAGAAGATTATTTAGAATCTCATCGTAAAACAATTTAAAAGTCCTTTGGAAAAAATTCAGCCAATTATCTTGAGGTCTATCTCTATTGATGATGTATCGAAGTTGTTTACAAAATGTTAATAGAAAGAAACCACTAATAACAATAGGCATCTTGAACTGCTTTAAAGGTTTAAAGGAATGATTAGTGCCGAAACAGGTAAAAGCTCTGCGATATTATAGGTCGTGAAGCCTTGAGCGTAACGAATTCCCAAATAAATCAAGTTTTCGTATGACTTAGTGCACTGCAGGCCTTCGCTAGTTTGTTGACGAATCCACCCGACTTCAGTACTATAGAAAATAGAAAAATACCATCGAAAATTACCCAACATCCTCCGTACTTTATTACACAAGTTTTTAAAAATTATGAGCCTAGTACTAGATTTGGCCTTACTCATTATCTTACTGATATCAGCCTACATTAGTAAAAATTGAAAAAATTGTAGTAAACTAACATCAAACATTAGTATACTGTCGTAACAAACAGTATCGCAGACTTAAGGCGAGAAGCCGCTATAACACCCTGAAAAATGAAGCGTTTCATCGCAATTCTGTTTGAATGGACGCGAAGATAACATCACTGACAATGTAAACATACGTATATGTAAACATATATATTTGATCAAGTTTTCATATCTATATTTAAGTATTAAAAAAAGGTAACGATCATCCATTCTAGGGAAGTACGTTTAATTGAAAGGGCTCTGCCAACCAAGAGCTTCTTGGTGCAATTTTAGCGCGAGAAACACCAGAAAAAAAAGTCAATTGCATATAATAGGTTTGAAATTTTTGTCCTTCTCTACTCTTGTGTCAGCATCTTAAGAAATCACCTATAATATAAGTTACAAAGTAAACTTTTCTTGAAACAATTACGATCTCTCTAATAAGAAAACTCAATAAGATACAGATAACAGTTCATCGTCTATGCTATATGTCACAATAAAAATGTTATTAACTTTACAAGATTTCTGCTGTAAATCTTTTTACTTGTATGGTCACCTTAAAAGACAATAAAATAAAAATAAGCTTTTCCGTGCTCTTCGAAGGGAAAAAAAAACTTTTAACATCAATCATTCGCTTAAAGATATAGTGAATAAAAACCTGTTGTCTTGTTTTTTGAGGAAAATGCTTGGGAAAACTTGCTAAAAGAGCTTTAACGTTAGTTAAAAGGTAAACATAAACATTACGTAGCTTTTTCCTATTCAAGGATGAAACCATGAAAAAGAAAATGAAATCAAACAGAGTCAAAGAAATTGTGATTTTTGTTATAAAATAAAACCTATTTTTGCTGAGGAAAGAGTAAAAAATGTTCGATGCAAGTAAGTAAAAAAAAATTATATTCGATGGTGACCGAATCTTTTATCCCCTTTAGCGAAAAATCTAATACTATAAAAAAAGATATTCTCTAACATCAAGTAGGCGTGGCTAATATTTTCCATTTTTATAGCATATTTTTAGTACATCTATTGCAGTTTGTGGGTAAAAACCCTAGCAAGCAAATGTGTTCTCTCTGTTTGTGTGTTGCTCTGTAGGTTTGCCGCGCAAATCAATTTTAGTTCATTTTCAGTTCTAACTTGTGAGTAATAACTTTCATCTTCATTTATGAATGCCTGCTACAGACGTTACACAAACGGACAGATGGACTTGCTTAAAACCATTAACGACGCTATGCTTATGAAGCAATTTAAGCAAGTTATGAATTCGTGGAAGCTCTCTTTCGGAAACTGTTGCAAACGTTTTGACAAAATTAAGACATCACCATCCTTCAATAGTGGATACAAAAGGAAGTAAAGCGAAATGGTCTTATGGTCTTATGAAACGGTTCCCCGCAAAACTTTCCTTTGCCCACATTTATGAGTTTTCGTTTAACAAAAACTTTGAAAGGAGCAAAAGAAACTGATTCTCTTCATTTTTATCGCATGTATTTGTTACTTATATGTGTAAAAGTGCGGATCATTTTTGTTATTACAAAAAGTTCAGTATAAAGAATGATAAATATATGCATATATTTATGCTTTTTCGATTTACAAATTTTAATAAATAGCAAAATCGAAAAAAAGAGCTTTGCCTGCAAAACAAATTAAGTTCCTTAAGATGATTCCGACGACGAGGTATCGGACGATGTTGAAGACGAGGTGGAACTGCGTTTATGACGTTTTGTTTTCGAATTCTTTTCATTTATTACCTCATAGCTAGGTAATGTTGAATTACTGGAGTCGGAGTTGCTAGACGAACTGCTAGGCTCCTCAATCACAGCTTCAATCTTTTTCAATTTCCTGCCAAAGATGTGTGGCATTAATTATGACTTTTTATGCAATATTTTTGCATAGAAAAGAAATTTCTATGCATTCCGGACCTTTCTCTCACTTTGTTTTATGTAATCATCAATAATTCAAGCCACAATTCGAGAGCCATGAAATGCAATGAAATTTCTTTCTTGCTTATTATGTATAGAATAAACATGAAAGGTTTTGCGTACTTCTTCTCCAACTTATCTGATTTTTTTCCATGCCTTGATTTACGTATTTCAATATCATTATCAAATGGCGATCGGCTACGCGCTCTTTTACTTTTTTTACTCGGTTTCATCTCCTTCCGTTTATTACTCTTGCCACTCTTACTAGCCTTGGTAGCGTATAAATTCTGTGAACTTGCAGTGGAATAGCCGGTGTCTTTACGCTTATGCTTTTTTGAAGGTTTGCTATAACAGAGAATGAACATAAAAGGTAATAGGTAAAGGTTTCTAGTAGAAAATATAAACGCTTTTTTCACTTACCTATCTTTCTTCGGTTTTTTCTTAGAAACGATTTCTTCGTCTGAATTTTCTCTAACTCTAAGAATGAATGGACATATCACGTTTACATGAAATATTAGCATGAAATATTGACACAGGAGTTTTTTAATTACCTTTTGATTTTACGCTTAATTTCGGTACCACGCTCATTAGAGATCATATAAATACCATTGAACTCATCGTCCAAGCGACGCCTTGATTTATATTGTCTAGCTTTGTTAGCGGCCTTTTGCTCGCGGCGTTTTTCCCAATATTCCGCGTTTACCACATATAAGCGGTACAATTGCAGTAGAATGACCAAAGAGTTTTTACCTTGAAATATTTCAAAATTTTATACCTATTTTAAGAGGTCGGGAAAAAGGCAAGTTCGGGATATTTAAATATGTTTCTTTTGTTTTTAGTAGTACAACATTTATTTATACTCATGCAGCTTACTTTGGCAAGTGGATAATCAATACCGATATTGCTTTCTTGCCAACCCAAGGCTTGGATATAAATCTACTTCTTGCCGATTTTCGGGGTCTCCCACAAGAAAATTATGGGCTCAATGAGACTATAGGTAGGGCAGAGTGTAGACCAGGGCAAAACATCAGGCCGTTCGGTAAAGTAGTTTCGATCGTCCGTCCGTCTGTCTCCAGAAGGGTTTGAGTGTAACCGTATGACAGAGGGTAGAATAGCCCAGGGCATAACATCAGGCCGTCCAGTAAAGAAGTTTCGATCGTCAGTCTGTCTCCAGAAGGGTTTGAGTGTAACCGGAGTATATATTGGCAGAAAGTGAAATCCCCCATCAATGCTGTACTAGCTAGCTTTATATTAACATAATATATTATTTAATTACACAAAAGTGTCCGGCTTTGATTAGATGATTAAAAATGTTAAACTCTGTTACACAAATTCCCTTTTTATGCGGTCGTATTCAATTTAGTACGAATAGACAAATTATTTGATTTAAATTTTAAGAACATTTGTTGTTCCATTAGCGGAAGTTTTCTTATTGTGTATGTATATAGGCGGGGGTATCGCCAGAATCCGGGATGTATATTGAAATGATTGTCGCTAATACTTACAAGTAAAAAATACGTTCATATAACTTATAATGTCAAATTCATATATGATCAGTAGACGAAATGTTAGAAACGGTGCATCTTGTAAGATGACATTAAGCACAATACCCCACACATCGATTCCGCAACAGCAATCGGTCTGATTAGATCTGCTTAAAAATAAATCCATAAAAAACTATAGTTTTGATTATCTGAGGATGCAATTAATTATCTTACTCAGACGATCGCTGGTGTGAGCTACCGCCACGTGGTCTTCTTGATCTGGTAGCAGATAGAACAATAGTAAATTGTAATAAACTCCAAGACCAAATGCCCAATGTCAAGTACACTAACAATTTAATTTGAGCTATAGTATCATCTTTATACGAATCAAAGAACTCTATAATATCAGCAGCTGTGCCTAAAAAAAATCGTTGATTAAATTTATTAATGTAGAATAATTTTACATTTTTCGTTTCTTTACCAATGTACACAAGAAGCAATTGACTTAATTGATCTCTTGTTAAGTCACCCTTAGGTAACATCCAGCGGCCCACAATTAGTATTAGCATTAAAAATTGTTCAATTACTGTTATCCATGTGCTTTCGTTTATTCCTGTCGCACGTACAGCAGGAATTATTGTTGCATTGTTAGTATCAGCATTCCGTTTATCTAAGGCGGCGGTTATGGTTGCATTATTGGGATTCCTTTTATCTTCTAAACGTCTTTGAACTTTATTGAGTTCAAGTAACCATATTGCTGGCACTATGCTAGCCAGGTACAAAAAAACTGAAGGGCAAAACCTATGAAAAATATATGTAAACGAAACGATAAGCGATTTCAAAAAGAATTACACGTATCTCGACATTTTGCTTCTCTCTATTCTTCTTCTTCTTCTATTCAGCAAATCAACAACTGAAAATTTGCTTTCACGTGTAGGGCATCAAGCTTCTCGTCTTTATTCTTTAGTCGATGTAAATTGTAATAAAAAATAATAAGAAAATTATAGTCGGGCAACGCCAACTATAACATACGCTACATCACTTCGCCTAGTACAGTTATTCGCCCGTTTTAGTAATAGTACACCAAAAAGGGCTTATTATTTTCAAACAAAGCTATAGTTTTCATGAAAGCCCGCACATTGGAAGGTTTCTCTTCATAAAAAATAGACCTATGTGATCGAACTTCCCTACCGTTAATTTTTTTGCTGAAACGCTACGATGAATTAATTTTCATCATAAAATATTAGCATTTTTCCGATGGGCTTACTGCTTATGAAATATCTTAGCAGTGGAATAGAAATAGATTCATGCGGTTCAAATTAGATCCATCTAATTTGTCCATTTAATTGTTCTCATGAACAAGTTTTCATCCCAAAAAAATTAACAATTAGGTCTTTTTGGCATAAGAGAGTCTTCCGTTTCTTGGGAATCTTTATGCCTCGTGGTATACAAAAAATAGATCTATGCAGTCCAAATTCAGAAAGCTGAATTTCTTTGTCAATTTATTAATACGAATCAATTTTCACCATGAAATACTGGAAATTCGACCTTCTCACCATAAAAAGATTCAGTTTCCATTGGAACGGTTAAATGAGAGGGGTTCAAAAGTTTTCACACCAAAGTTTTCACACCAATTTAAAATGCCTAAATACTATTATTTATCCATTTTTGATATTTTAAAAATTGCAAAGTTTTTCCATACAATGACTTTTCAGAATACTGGAAAAGTGAACCGATCCGAACCATTTTCGGCATCGATTCTCTTTGGTCTAAAGTACTTCTTTGTACCGAATTCCATCAAAACATCTCAAAAATTGAGACTTGCAGCTTCGAGTCAAAAATACATGGAGAGACGTCAGACGGAGACAAAAGTTTAGAAAATGATTCTGAATCGATCGGTATAATAAAAAGTGTATCTATATTAAGTTATCATAGTGTATCCACATTAAGTTATCATAGCCTTGTACCAAAAGTGATCTAAGGTATAATGATAATAGTAATAACAAAGTATTTTCCTAATTCTAGGCGTGGTTATAGCGTCGCCATCGCGCTAAAATTTAATATAAATTATAAGTAAACATATTTTCCCAAGTTTTAAAACAAAGTCTGTTCTAAATTGTAGGGCACGGTTGTCTGCTATTGTAGGCGTGCTTTTCGGACTTGATTTGCAGCCACACGGCGGTGGTGACCTACAGTGAAATGGGTTCTTAGCCAGATCAAGAATAGTAAAGGCTCTGCTAGTGTGTACAAAAACTTCGTTATTCAGACGGTAACAGTAACACATACCTTGTTAATCGTTAATCATATACAAGTCCTTATATATACGTGGGATATTTGCTATTTCCAAGCAAGTTATATGTTTATTTAATTACTAATTAAAATCGGCTTTTGTTATTAACCTGTGTATATTTGGTGTGACGGTGTGATGGCTCGGACTATGTTGAAAAAATCTCAATCACCTCACTGCATATTACTTTCCATTAAACGTATGGCAATCAATTAAGAGCTTATTTACAAGCAATGTAATCGCATCGATATCATCGCGTAATCATATATATGTGTGTGGGCATAAAATTCAACAAAACAAAAGCTGTTTAAACGACCAGACAAGCAAGCAAAAGAGCACTCAGACCGAAACTTGAACATCACTACCGTTTTCTTAGTTGGCTTCAAATTTTCAAGAACAACCGTCGACGCAGTTTCTTTTTTTTGGAAACCTTAAGATATGACCTGAAATACAGGTTGCCTTCCTTTTATGAGACTATTGGAATTTGTAGACTAAAACGCGTGAATGCAAAAAACTTCTGTCGTTAATGAGTAATGAAAATGTCTTTTTAATTTCGGTAGATTGAAGGACATATAGCTCCCACAGTAGAGGGTACCGCACTTACATCAATTCACAAATTTCTTTGAAAGACTATTAACCTGGCACAGCATCAAACTTATTAACAAATTATTTAAATTGGATGTGAAAATTCCTATTCACTCGTATCATTTTCAAGTCATCCTGATAAACTGAAATGGTGGAGAAAAATCTGAAGCGTAGGCTTCATAATATTTCCTAAGCAATAAGAAGCAGGAGTGCAGGTATATACGTAATAATGTTCAAGATACGCTGAAATTATTGATTAGCCAAGTAATGTGGGAACTTCTACTATTTTCTTAGGGATGTGCAGCGTATTTTTAGGACGAATTGAAACAAAGCGGGAAAACGAAAAAACTTCATAACTTTGTTATCGTTCTGCTAATTTTCGATGTCTCTTAGGTGTACCTTCAACAAAACACAGTACCGAGGGAGAGAAGTGAAAAGGACCCATCGAAACAATACGAAATCGGTTTGTAGCTTCCCTTGAGCCTTGCAAAGTAATGATAGGTGGATAAGAAAAAAATTTTCAAAAGTCACTGTACAATTGTTCGTCGCTTCTTCAGCTATCAAGACTGTAATTCCCTCTTTCGAATTCATTTCCGCCTGGGTAGCAGACTAGATAAGAATCGCGATTACCAAGTCAGTCTTCGCGTGTTCAAATCTCAATTCTTTTGGAATTTTCTTTTGGTCATAGCTACAGCGATATAGAGCTCAGTCGGTAAAGACATAACACTTATTCATTCGTCATCCATAACCCACTAGTTTGCTGCCATCAGCTCTCTATTTCTTTCTCTTTCGTCTTTTCACCGTTTTACACGAACAGGTGACATCCTCTGAGTGATTGGTCTTAAAAAAAAAAAGCATTTACATATATACATAAAAGCAACAATGAAACATATAAACTGGAATACTCATCATTTGGATCTCCGATATTTGTTTACTCTAATTTTTCAATAAGGAAACAGAAATTATTTCCAATATATACAATTGTGGCCCGTGATAACGTGTTAAGGACTTTAGTATTCTGTTCATAAATCACTCCCACAGATCTAAGCAAAAAAAAAAAAATTAGCAAAAATTTCCCCATTTTCTATTCACACTGTTTCATCGACTGGAAACGCGGTAGATGTCGTTAATTCCCTACAGTTAAGATCTTCGCTTTAATACTTGCCAGCGATCGCGAAAATGTTATCCACACCTTATCAAGAAAATATGCAAAGGGAATGATAAATTTAGTATACCCTGATAGTAGTTGTGAAAAGCACAAAAAGAATATTAGGCAATAAAAATGTCAGTGCAGAAGTAAGTAGTTTGCGTTGCGAAATAACCGTTAAATAAAAGCTAACCATGTAAAGGACAACAAAGGTGCGGATTTCATAAAATTGTGCGATTCATTTCTAAATGAAAATCAAAGCGATACCGAAGCAAAAAAAAATGGTATAGTAAAGTATAGTAAATATATATACGTATAGTGTAGTAAATATATATGTATACATATATATAATACAGATATATATGACGTCAACTTCTAAGCACATTCAGATCCTTTTTGTATGCATTTGAATTATTCTTTGCCAATTACCATCTCCACTCTTGGGTTTTTTTAACAAAGATTGTAAAAATTCCCTCCGTTAATAATAACAATAGCGGAGCACCCAAGGACCAATAAATAATTTCATCTGTGGTATAGACCACTTGCCAAATGGCAATAGCACTATGTGCGCCGAATATTAAACGTGTCAAAGTTGCTTTTATCGTTGAAATAATTCGCGCTAATTTCATTTTTAATCGCACTCTCTAATCGAATTGACAAATTATTCAGCTTCAAATATGCGATGATGATGTTATTTATATCTTTGTTAAAATATATCCAAAGTTCATTTTTAATCATCCCATATACTTCCCGAACATTTTAAATATGTTTAAATAGCAACTGAACGGTATAAACCACAAGGCACAACTAAAACACCAATTGCCCACAATTGTCTCATGTAACGTATATGTGTAAGTAAAAGGATCTATCACATGGTAAGTTGAATTTTTCCTTTTCTTTTAAGCAATTACCGCAAATGCTTGTATACTATAAAATAAACGTATACTATGAAACAAATGCATAAATTAGTTAAGCATTTGACGGATTCAAATGATATGAATGATTTTTTCAAAAGGCATAAACAAAAGGCAGATGCAGACAGTCAATCCACAGTCATCTGACTTCCATTGTTCGGACTTTTGCGGGCGTTAAATGTAAAAAGAGAAAGCATCAATATGCAAATTAAGATTTTCTGTTTCAATTCTTAGTGCCAGGCAAAATAAAAAATCTACAAACTCGCCCACAATTGCTAATAAAGTAAAAACAAAAAAAACTACAAACTATATTTTAATTTGTAACGTACAATTTATACCAGGAGTTGATTAAGAATTTGATAAAAACATTTAACAGAGCCATCTAGAGAACCTCGCCAAGCCAGTTGTCCCCAATCGGCAAGTATAGCTTTTCTACTGCGCTTCATAGTAATAATAAAAAATATGTATTTGCTTTATTACGATTAGCTTGCACGCACTGCAAAAACTAAAGGTTGGAAACAATAAAAAAAAGGCTTAAATTAATAGAGAGTTACGAGAGGGAGAGTTGGTTATAAATCTAGAGTTAATAAAAAAGAATTTTAATCTGTTCGAGTTAATAAATTTATATAAATATTGAAGCATTTCGGTTCAGCGTAGGTGGTGACGGGTGTAAGGCATTTAAGATTATCTTTAGAGCCGATAGCCTGTGTTGCTAGTGCTCAATGTCTTTTTTTTAGTCTAAGAATTCAGTTCATTAGTCTAAAATTAAAATAATAATAATAATAATAATAATAAGATTATCTTTATATACTATTTTCAGGTACTTTATTCCTTCCTCCACAATGTTACTTGATTTAATACAGGGCAAAAACATTCCTATCTATTATCTTTTCTAATTTTCTGCAAAACATTTGTCTAATAAAAATGGAACAGCATGTGCGAGATCCTTGTTTTCAGCCAAATCATTTAATAAGCAACGTGGCTTACGTTTTACGCTTTGTACTAAAAAAAAAATCACAATTTATTTTTTTTCATTTCAATTTTTATCTTCTCCAATTGAACAAAAATAATAATTTACTTCTCATAAATAAATCAGACAAATCCTCGGTATACTGGAAGAACTATAATAGAAATGAAATTAAAAATAAAAAAAAATTTCCTTGCGAGAGAAAAAGTAGTGAATTTCCAAATTGCAGCTGCATAAACTGTGAAAGTGTTTTTGGATTGGTAAGCTTTTTGCTTTATTAAATGCTGGCAACTTTGAACAAGAAAAAGGGGGTAAATGTCAAAATTGCAACAATATTAAAGAATATTATTTAAAAGGTAAAAGCAAATTGAGAAGCAAAACTTATAGAATTTTTTCTAAACTGTTGGAATTTTACAGGTTTTTGTCAAATTTACTGTTTGTTACAAATATTTTACGATACGTTATAACTAATAGCCATTACGGAACCAAACAGAGGCATAAATTTATTTAAAAAAAAAAAAAACTCCCATTATAAAGCGATATACAATAAGCGGTGGACAAACAGAGATAGACTCTCTATCGTAGACATTTGTAATAATATAAAATAAAAGGAAGTTCATCAGGAGCTATTTTGTGCAACAAGACTCAGGAGCTCTGAATAACGTTAAGTGAAACGAGAAACTAAGTTTGGATAACTTTTACCAGCGTATATTTTTATTCTTTAACAACAAAAACACAACTTTTTATAAAGATGGAGAAGATGCCAGCAAAACAATATGAAATGTAAGTAAGATTATAAAAGTGTGAGGAATCCTATTAAATGAACCAATGTAAATTTCTTAACGGAAAAGTTAATCGACATGGACATGAATGAGATTTTAGTCAATAGAATTCACAGTCACTATTGCGATCGTTCTGCGCAGAGATTGTTAGGTTATGTTATCGCAGTTCTCAGATATAAATGAATTTGGGCCTACGTTGACAGCGAAAAACGACGTGCGTTTTGAGTATTTGAAAAGAAAAAAAATATATTTTTTTTTGCACGCTTGCAAATGAGTGCGATAGATATTTTTTCCTTTCAGAAATTTAACGAATTAAAATATTTATGCCGAAAAACTATAATTTCTTTATTAAAAAAAAATTAATTTATATATATTCACAAAAAGTGCTCCAAAAACGAAAGATCGAGTAAGCAAACAATTATCAATTAGATATATATACATATACATGTGTTATGTTAATGTAAAAATGAGAACTAACTTTATCTATATTTATCTACCTAGGGGCAGTTCAACCTCCACCAAATCAATGCAGCCACAAAAATTTTTGCATTCAAAAAGAATTGGGCATATGGACTCGTTTAGCAGACATGAAATGATGTACGATCCGCCTAGTATGGAAAGCAAGTCAATGCCACGGTCAAGGTATTTAAAATAAAACTATGAATAATATAATTTGTACGAATTTTAGAAAAACCCGTTTAAAAATATACAGTGGAAAAACAGAGTTGTACTTACCTACCTTTAAAGGCAAAAATGGATCGATCCTTTTTAATTGGTTGATATCAACATTATTTGGGGTCGACATATTTTAAAAAAATGCGTTTAATGAGGATATATATCGAAATCGTGTAAAAAGAAAATTGTCTTTAAATGCTCACATAACCAATATAAAATCAAGAAGATATGATGTACATTTTTGGAGCGTTAAAACATATATAAAAAAATTCTAAAGTACACCAATTGTGAGAGAAACTGCACAAATGCATATTGTCTACAATGCTTTTAATGGATGCCAGCAAATCTATGCAAATACTTCTCAAAGTGTGCACTAAACTGTGCTCTGTGCTTAAACCAAGCAAAAAATTTCCTGTTTAAAAGGAAATGGAGTGTACATTTTTTATTCCTTACTGATAACAACATTGTCGATAAATTTTCTCACTTAACCTCAATTCCGCGAATCAATGAAAAGCAAAAATTTCTAAACGAAATAAGTTTCTTTATACCATACTACTTCGAATATAATTTTCGAAAACTGTACAAACAGAGAATATATTGTAATATTTTTTTTTTTCTGCTTACAGTTACTTTAACTCGAGTAAACCCTGGCCGGATCTAGAGAGCGATGAAAGCGACATGGAGAATGAAATAGATATTGATAATTTGCCACCGATTGAAGTTGGACCGCATGAACATCGTTTGCAGTACACATATTGGTTATGGTTTTCGCGCAAAGGGACACATCGTGCGACGGACTACAGCAAATCGTTGCGTGTAGTGGGACGTTGCGCGAGTGTCCAACAATGGTGGTCACTGTATTCGCACTTAAAACGTCCCACAGCCCTACACCCGTATAGAGACTTGAGTCTCTTTAAACAAGGCATTAAACCGATGTGGGAAGATCCGGCCAATTCAAAAGGTGGCCAATGGGTTATACGATTACGAAAAAATCAAATCGATCGTGCGTGGGAAAATGTGTGCATGGCCATGTTAGGTGAACAGTTTTTGGTGGGAGACGAAATATGCGGTGTCGTATTAACAACAAGATCTCCGGTAAGTCAAATATATACTTAATTAGCTTTACTTAAAAAAGAAGAAAAAATATCTCAAATCATGCTAAGGTATAAAGAAAAAATTTTTAACGTAATTTATGACTGGGACATTTGAAAAAATGCAACTCGGTCTTTAATTAAATGTTTAAATGTTACGTTTATCTTGTAACGAAATCAAAGCAGCTGTGAGTAGTGTGTAGCAGTAAATAGTTGTGGAAGAAAATGCGGAGATTGCAAGAACAACAAATGCTTGATATTCAAACTTGCCATCGGTATAAATTCTTGACGTAACAGCAAGTGGTTAAATAAAAGAGCAAAATAAAAAATAAGTAATAAATCAGATGACAATGAATTAAAAACAAAAATCAAAATAAGTGAAAAACAAGTTTTTATTTGAAAAAAATAAAATGATTTAGAGAAGTATTTAAAAAAATTGCAAAAATCACCAAAAGAAAAAATAAATAAATGAATTCTGCGAAATAAGAAACAGAGAGAGAGAGACAGAGAGCGAGAGAATATTATTCCTCACTACAAAATGTTATTAAGCAAAGAGCAATAAAAGGAAAAAGTAAAAGCGCAAACTCTAGATAAACGAAATCCACATATGTTTTAACGTGAAATTGGTAAAGGCCTTTGCTAATGTAATCTCTATGCTCCAGTTGCCAGTCGAGAGCAAGCCACTTAAACGGGAGTGTCGTTGATATTCGAGTTTATTTTTAATAAAACGGGTGTTTTCTAACATTCACATAACCACACACATAGTAGATAAATTCCCCCGCAGAAAAAAAAAGCACTGAATTGTGTTAAAAAAAAAAAATCGAAGATATTTTTAAATCGATAAACGTCGAGGAGCAAAAAAGAAACACACCCACCGTTAAAGAAGGAACCTACGCGCGGTTTATTTGCTTGTCCTACTCAAGAAGATATTACGGATATCTTTCTGTTAAACACCGTTAATAGATGAAAGAAAAAAAAATGTTCATAAAATTAAACACAGTGGTTTGCGCAGAAAATCGATTTTTACACTAATTTTAGAAACAAGTGCTTTTAAACGTGCTATAGGATTTTTTTGAGTGCGTGTGTGAATTAATATAAGTAATAAATGCTTTACGTGTTATAAAAGAAGTATTGATTGAATCTAAAAACGACAATAACAAAAATTTGCAAAGAATTTTTGCAAAAAAGCAACAATAAAAGCAATGAGCATTGCATTTGTTTTCGAGTGTTTTAATAGATGCGATACAATTGGATTATGCACTAGATGTATGCTAAATGCCTGCCCGCCTCCCTGCCAAGGTTAAAATACCCACTCCATTGATTTAAAATATAAAGAGTCGTTTACAACGTCTGCCTTACGGGTTCAATAAATTAAAGCAAAAAAAAAAAAAAAGGAAAAAGAAAAAACGGAAATAAATCTGCAGAAAAATTAACATATACACACCAAAACATAATAAATGCCACAGTGTTAATCTCTCTTTCTCTGGCCATCCTCAAAACCAGTTGTCATTTCATTGTAAAAGACCGCACTCTCTCTCTGTATATGAAAGAGAGCCAAAATTTACATTCCACAAATATTAGAGAAACGAATAAGAAGAAAAAATTGGCAGATATAAGATAAACGTCATTTTCGTCTGAGAGAGTAAATACGATATAATAATGTTTTTCTATAAGACAAAAGGCAAACAAATGTATATATTCAATCAATAATAAAAAATCTTAAATGAATTATTTGTTATACTAAATATAATAAATGTTATAAACATATAAAAAAATTCTTTAAATAAAAAATATATTTATAAATATACATATATATGTGTCTATACAAACAAAGTAAGTGAGTCACGTTTTTCCAAAACAGCAACACAAACCAAAATCATAGTTACAATTACAGCAACCTTAACCACCACCACACCATCATTACCAAACACCTCCAGCGTTACCATCCATATCACAACAGCCAGCGTGATTCTTCTTGAATGAGTTTTATTGTGTCTGGATAAAAATTGTTTTTTGTTTTTGTTTTCTTTTTTTGTTTCTATTGCTATAAGTGAGTAAAGCAATAAAACGAAAAAGCTTAAAAACAATACCGTTACTTTAACAAGCTGCTGCCAGTAAAGAGAAGAAGCGATTAAAAAAATCAAATAAAGTTGCATTAATTTAATATCAAAAATTAAAGTCGCTTACGAAAATGACTAAAGACAGATTAGCCGCTTTGCATGCCGCCCAATCGGACGATGAAGAGTCTGAAGATGTGGCCGTTAATGTTGATACCCACGATTCGTATATGGACGATTTTTTCGCCCAAGTCGAAGAGATACGTGGTATGATCGATAAGGTTCAGGAAAATGTCGAAGAAGTGAAAAAGAAACATTCAGCCATTTTATCGGCCCCTCAATCCGATGAGAAAACCAAACAGGAATTAGAGGATTTAATGGCCGATATAAAGAAAACAGCCAATCGTGTCAGAGGCAAACTAAAAGGCATCGAACAAAATATCGAACAGGAAGAGCAACAAAATAAGTCATCAGCCGATTTGCGTATACGAAAAACGCAGCATTCTACGTTATCGCGAAAATTTGTTGAAGTCATGACCGAATATAACCGCACACAAACCGATTATCGTGAACGTTGCAAGGGTAGAATACAACGTCAACTGGAAATTACGGGCCGTGCCACAACCAATGAAGAACTCGAGGATATGTTAGAGCAAGGTAATCCAGCTGTGTTCACGCAGGGCATTATTATGGAAACGCAACAAGCGAAACAAACATTGGCCGATATTGAGGCCCGTCATGCGGATATTATGAAATTGGAGACATCGATTAAAGAATTACACGATATGTTTATGGATATGGCTATGTTGGTGGAGTCGCAAGGCGAAATGATCGATCGCATTGAGTATCATGTGGAGCACGCTATGGACTATGTGCAGACAGCTACTCAGGATACAAAGAAAGCTCTTAAATACCAGAGCAAAGCACGACGAAAGAAGATTATGATTCTGATATGCTTGACTGTGTTGGGTATCATAGTTGCGTCATATGTTAGCAGTTATTTCATGTAAATGCCATTCTATCCCTCTTTCTGTCGTTCTTCTATACTACATATTTATATATAAATACGTATATGTACGAAAGCAACTTTTCCCTTGCAATTGTTTATCAGAGGAAAAAAAAAACAAGAAAAAAAAAATTAAGGAAAAAAATCTATTACATTATTATTATTATAAATAACTATTTATTAAAATTATTAATCTTTATGGATAAAGACGTAACTATTAATAGTTAAAAAGTTGAAAGCAAACAAAAAAAAAAACAGATATTCAAAAACAAAAAAAAAAAACTGCAAGAAATTGCAATATTTACCATAAAAAACATACAAAGATTTTCAAGTTAAGTTTAGTTTGTTAAATAACGAATATTGCAATTACTTGGATAATGAAGAGCATTACTAATATTAATAGTATATTAAAAAAAAAAATAATAAATAATAATAATGAAACAAAATTTTTTCATAATTATTCTCAATAGGCCGTCATATACAACCCAAAGTAATTAAACAATTTTTTCACAAACCTGCCACAAGGCTTTCAAAAGCCTTTTAATGCATTCTTCAAGTGAATCTGAACGACTAAGTAAATGTATTATTAATTTTGAAAAGGATTCTTCCTTCTCTTTATTTCATTTTTTTTTTTTTTTTTTTTTTTATTTATTTCAAACACAAACGATTCGCTAACTTTTCAAAAAAAAAAATTTTTTAAATTTTATTTCTCTTATGTCTTAATTTTAAAAGCTGATCAATTTATTGTTATAAACCAAAGTAAAATTAATCAAACAACGCAAAGAAATATTTTCCAATTAAACTCTTTACACTTTTTTGTTTGCCTTTTCATCTTCAAAAAGGATGCATTTATGCGTAACTTAATAATTTTCCTTTCAAGCACTTTTTTTCTTAAGTAATTACACGATCATTAACTAAAGCTTCATAATAATTAAAAAATTTTTTAGTTTGATTACGTTTTGATTATTGGGAGATGTGCTCGTTCTTAATTCTCAAACTCTCCTTAAATTGTTATTATTAATATTTTAAGAATGTTTAAAGTTTATATGTATATGTCTACCACCGAGGAAACGCAATATATATGTATATGTGTTTACGCTACTTATTTGTGTGTTTGTTATTATTTGTGACATCCTAACTAAAAAAATCTTTGGAAAAGCGCACTACAACTTGGGGAAATGGAAGAGCTACCGTTCACATGAAGCGCACCACCTTTTATTTCTTTCTTTTTTGAATTCCTAATAAACACGCATACGTCTGTACAATGATACGAAACTAAAGTTGAATAGAAAGAACTTAAATTGGATTACAATTACGATGCTTGGAAAAAAGTTTCACTTGCTTGCGTTTATTGCTTTACTTTATCTTCCTCTGCCTCTAAAATATTTTCTCATTTTAAGTTAATGTTTTTGTGCTAGTGTTTGCACTTCAAACTCTAATCCGTGCTACTTAACTGAAACAGATTCAAGATTTAACGATTTCCACCGAATATTAATCGGGCTAACACTATTTCCGGCTTCAAAAATTTGGATACGTAACAATGTTGTTGTGTGCTTCTTGGTTTTTTTAAAGGAAACCCTTCCATTCAATTTATGGTGTAAAGGTATCTCATATTATCGAACAGCAAATGTCAAAATGTAAATGATATTTTCGTACAAATGGAATATTAGTTTACGACACACACGAAGCAAAAGTTTCATTTAATTTTGTAAACGCTCCATTTTTTCCAGGAAGTCAGGCTTTATTTGAAGCAGACGTCTTTTGGATTGAACGCTTGCCAATGCTTGACCTTACGGTGTCTGGCGCATAGAACAGAAATAATACATAACTCATTGTCTAAATCTAAAAAGATTGTTCTCAGAATTTCATACTTCGCAGGTATATCCTTTAAAAGCTTCCTTAAATGTTTAATGTCCGTCCATGTCCTTTCGGCAAAGAAATATTTAAGTTAGATGGAAGAATAATTTTTAAGGAAAAAGTTCTATGCTAATTGTGTGGTAGATATCTTAGACTCGGCGTTAAGCGTGAGTATTCTTTATCTAATCTCTAATTCTTGTTCCTAATTTGTTATATACATATATATATATAATTTTCTATATATTAATGCAATTGATATTTTTTGATTACCGGCTTTCACACTGATTTGAAATTATATTTGTCAGACTAAAAGCGTGCGTTTATTGCTAAATAAGTAAGTGGAACAAAAGTATGTCACAAGTTCCATTATTAAATTTATGAGGAAAAAAAAAAAAAACAGAAAAAATTCAATTCAATAGTTTATTGCATATCTTGAAATCATTTGTTGTTATCCTTTGTATATGTATTTTATGTTAAGCAACTTTAGAAAAATTAATTGCACTGCATACCCTTTTTATATCTACTACACTTTCCATTTCCTTCATATATCCAAAATATTGAAATAAAAACAATATTGGTAACACCGCCTACCATAGTAAATGCAACATTTATGCCAGCATTTATGTACCTTTCACAATCGTATTTTGTCGAATGGCAGTAAAAGCAACAAGATTTTATGCAACAAGCAAGCAATTTTGAAACCCACGACATCTCTACAAAACATTATCAAATGCATCTGCACGACCACCACCACCACCACCACCATCACAAGCCAAGCACTCGGTAACATTTCTTCAAATTATCTTTGTTTGGTAAATTTTGTTACGTGCCATCCGTGCAAGCAGAACGCAAGGCAGCAAAAAAAAAAAAAAAATAAATAAAATCCTAATGTTTGTATGCGTGTGTTTTTGTGCTACTTATACTATTCGAATTTTTCTTCCACTAATGCTACACACTACCACCAGCATCAAATATTATCATCTTAACTTAACAACAACAACCATCATTGCTTGCAATGAGTTTACGTTCACATGCGTTGCAATCATCCTTGTCCTTCGTATTCTCCAAACAAACAAAACAAAGAAGAAAAGAAAGAAGGGAAAAGTTATTACATACTTAAAGATAAGGATGATGAGGATGATGATGATGTGTGGCGACCGTCATTCTGGCCAATGCTTTGCGTTATAACAATAAATCAGTCAATGAAAATTCATCGGACATTTTAGTGAAACTGCGAAATGTACTGCAATGCGATTTATTAGCTCAACCGTAAAGCCTTGAGTTATCCCCCCCCCCGCTTTTCTGTAAGGGGTGGAGGAGAACTCAACTCCACTAACATCGCTAAACACCATCAGTTTGCGCCCCTATGAATGTGTATTTACGAGAACAACAACAACAACAACAACAAAATGACATCAGACAAGTTGAGTAATAATAACGTTTGCAAAAACAAAACAAAAAAAAAGAAAAGAAAAAAGTGAAAAAAACATAGCAACGGCAGCAACAGCAGCAGCAACAGCAACTTGTCCCGTCAATGCCAGCCGTTTATGTGAAAGTCATATGAATCAAAACTAACGAGGTAAGTAAACAAGAGTCCAATATTTTTTTCTCTCTTTTCCTCTCTCACTTTATTGCCTTAAATTGTGTGAAATTCTAAAAATAATGAAATCTCTCTCATCATCTTTAACAATGAAATGATTATTTTATCGCAACGATAAGAGCATTTGCATATATAATTAAATTTTTAATTATGAGAATTATTTCGAAGACTTTATTAGAATTTTTTCATTAAAATGAGGAAATTGTAAGGAAAATTTTAAAATGCCGGTGGCTGGTGTATGTTTCACTTTCAAGCCTTTCAAATGAATACGACAAACAGCAAAATTGTAGTTGTAGATCTCCTTGGGGTCATATAAATTTTCAGAATTGCTTTTAGTTGGAAGCGCGGATCGCTTTGCGATTGTTTCCAAGTCCAGAGGGTCATCCCTTGACGTTTTCTAAATCGAAAAATATTTATTTGTGCGAGTTTGTGTTTACAGTCCAAAAAAGTTTGATTTGGCCGTAGATAAAATGGCATTTAATGTTATTGGGACTTTTGCTACTATCCCGTAGATTCTCATCAATCCAGCTAAACGATCCGGTACTTTTTGGCCTCGTTTACTACTGCATGCACTAGTAAAAGGCTTTATTGGTAAGATTTTCTTTTGCTAAATACAGACTTCAAATGGGGATTAGCGAGGATAGCCGGCAAAATAATGGCATAGCTGAGCAACGCGTTAATATCCTGTAAGCTGTTTTTAAAACGGTCCAATTGCAGGCCTTGTGTGAAGCTGAGTAATGCTGATAACACTACGTTCGGGAAAGATGCTCTGAAAGCAGAGGCAGAAACAAATTAAGGAATTGAAACAATATTGTCTTCAATGTTCGAAAATTTAATACCATCCCAGCTCTCACTTGTTGTAAGGTTTGAAAAAGTTGGCTATCATGTTAACCCTGAGACTGAGAACCAGCACTATGCCATTTTACTTACGTGTGATAATCTTAAGGAGTGATCCATAATCTAATTCTGTCGAATCGTTTAAAATTAGTTTAAGAAATCTTTCTCCCTGCATCTGACTTTTCACTATATATTCTTCTCGTAGAGAGAGGCGAAAGCAAAGCGTATTACATTTGACTGACATACTTGTGGCATCGTAGAAAGTCTTCTGTTACGATATTTCTTAAATCTTTATGCAGAATTTCCTATAAGGTTGTCATGTCCATAAGCTCAAGTTCTTGAGCACGTTTTCGTCCACAAGCGGGGAAAGGAAACATACTCTTGCTAGCCATTTGCACTCAGAAAAGCTTTGAAATCTTGAAATATCGTATTGACGACTTGCTGCTTCAATGAAAATCCCAACTTGGTCAGCATTATTTGGTTAAAAGCGTTCATTGTGCAATTATCTCCACCACCCAAGGATTAAATTTCATTGATCGAAGAAAACGAATCATATTTTGTTTAATAGCATGTATCGATTATATTGGTTTAGTTTTTAAATCTTCAAATTTCATTTTTTATCTTTTTATTTATTTAATGCTATTTACTACAGTGCTTTGAATGTTCGACAGGAGAGATTATCTTAATATCTCAATAGGAGAGAATATCTTAATATCTCAATAGGAGTGCAAGGTCAAGAGCGTTTTCTCTAAACTTTCAATATTAATTTCGAAACAACTTTTTATCGCTTGCGTGACTTATGGTCGAGCTATTGTTCAAAACCATTATTAGTGTTTGCAATTGTGTGTTATTCCAAAGTGTATGAGAGAATTAAGCGGCCGCTTGTAAACACTTTATGTATTAATTATTGAAGGAGGTGAACAATTGGCTTTTTACCCACCCGTAAGGGAAAACGAATTTATTAATTACATTATTCGCTTTCTAGCCCTTGTGTTTAAGATTTTAAATAGTATTTAAAATTTATAACTTCATTAATTAGTATGGGATTATGTGATATCTTGATATAATATTTGGCTGCCTTCGAATTTACACACAATCGCAAAAACCCCGACAATGGTTTAATTAATAAAAGAAAGTAAACTTGAGATGAACAGTGCACACCCAACACTTACTTCTTCCACAATGCTTTCGTAAATATTCTGAAAGTAATGTTCATTAGTAGGAAGTGTTGTTGTTATAATAGAGCGTTTCAACCGAGAGTGATTTCATTGATTTCGTTAGAAATCACTAATGTATTCATTGCATTCAAAACACTAAGTGATTCGTATCTATAAAAATTTGAGTTTACATACAAACATGTAGTGGACAACGAAAAGTAGAAATTTGAGAAACAATTAAATGATGCTTCGTCTTGGCTGATTGTACTGTTTCACGCACAAGAGATGATACACGTTTTTATATCCCTTACCGATGGGTGAGAGGTGAATTCGTTTCATCAAAATGTTTGCCACACCCAGACGGAAGCCTGAACGAGCCCGCAAAGTGGACAAATTCTGAACCGTTATAAGCATGCAAGTCTATCTGTCTCTCTCTCTCTCTCTCTCTCTCTGTCTGTGTAATGCCTATGGTAAACATTCTCCTTGTCGCAGATATGCACAAATCGACTTCAAATTTGGCCTAAAGATCGGAAACTCTTTCATGCAGGTTGGTATTGGAATTGAGCTAAATCGGTCAAAGGGCGTGACCGTACTACGACGTAACCTCTTTTCCAATCATATCCGTTTTTTGAAATGTAGAAAAAGAAATGGTTTCCCGCTCGTTACTTATAAACCGCAACAGATACAACGACGAAAAAAATTGCATTTTTATTCTATGGATAGTCTTACAGCAACTGTACAAAAGCGAAAAAAATCGACCACGCCTATTCAATACAATAGAGCGTTGAAGTTGCGTTGTTTTCTTCAAGCGTTTACCATACTGCGTACAAAGCTTCAGAGAGAGATATAAAGTTTGCCTAAAAATTATTGATCAGCGTCCAGGGGTGATGGGTGTCAAAGATTCGGTCACGACTTAACACAATTTTCGTATTTGTTATATTATCACTTCGGTTCCTATTTATTTATTTATTTATTTATTTTTTTTTGTTATTTTATTTTATTATTCTTTTTTTTTTTTACTTCGTCTTATTTTATTATTCTTTTTTTTTCGTGAATGTGTAAACAAATAAAAAGCATTTGACAGCAATACTGCAAAGTCGACAATTAATTTATCATAAAAACAAAGTCACAGCTTTCATCTAAATTTCAACACAATTTCGTATTGCATTGAAGTTAGAAGTTTTTGTTATATTTCATCCGATATTTTCTATATGACCATGCGATGATTTTTTCTTCAATTTCAACTGAAATTAGAGAAATTCGCGAAACCACTTCGGGTGGAAAGACATTATTAGCGATGCCTACTATTCATATTGATTATCCTATTATATCCGATAAGATCGATGGTAACGCGAACCTGCAAAAAAATCGTACTCGCTTTGTCACAATAAAACATTGATTCTCGTCACCTCGAGCTGTGTAAAAAATTGCAAAATAATTTGTTAATTATGAGCGTGAGATACGTTCGGCTAATAACACAAGCACGAAAAAAATTATAGTCGGTTTGAACCGAATATCTTATATCCTATTGAGATTTGAACCGTAGATGGATGCTATCTTTTTAGCACATTCTTACATAATTCCAACAAGTTTTGCAATGTCTTGCCAGTTTAAGTAAATTGCTGTAGAATGCTGTAAAATGCTGTTTAGAATAGTATCCAAACATGTGCATTTATATATTCCGCTTGTTACAAACCCATGCTATGAGACTCGCGATCAAGAGGATTATGTAGGTCTCCGCAGTTCCGAGTAATACATTGGAAACTCTATAAGTTATATTTCTTTTTGATTTTGATTCAATTTATCCATATTTGTCCATACGTCCATCCAAGCATCATTCTCTTGTTTGGCCATTGGGGGGCTGAATATGGAAAAAAGCTACAGTTTACCCTGCAAACTACTTAATGAGCTCAAGTTTCAGAAATATTTTCAATTTTATTAAAAAGTTGAAATATATGTTTGTAGCAGTTAATTACTTTAAACCTTTTTATCCAAGATTATATGATTTATGAATCTGGTAAGCTTTCGAAGAATAGGCTCGGCCTGCAAAGCGGACCCATTTGTTAACATTTTTACAATTAGTGAGTGAATGAAACTGCGTGATAGAGTGTATATCCAAGATTCGCCGTAATATCGATAGTCTTTTTAGTTGTTTTCTCTTTACGGACCATAAATACGCATTGTTTTGTTTTCTTTTACACCCCAATATTATTCAGTCACATAATGTTGCTTAACGTTTTCGAGCTCATTTTATCAGCTATAAAATTACATTCACATACATACATTGATACATACATAACAACAAACAAATGCTTATAAGAGTATATATTATGCACACACACACACATATATATATATATATATATATATATATATACTTTTCTTTGGTGCTTTTTCAATACAATTTCGCTTAGTTGCCGTTTTATTTTATTATTATTTAACTTTCGGTTTTTTTTTTTTTTTTTTTTGTTTGTTAGTTTTCTAATTTTATTTTCAAATTTCTTTGTGTATTATTATCTTTTAAGCGCTGGTGAGTCATGCAATCTTATATTAAGTCTCAATACATGTATACATACATATATGCATTCACAGATACATAGGCATACGCATAATTATATAGTGTATAAGCAAATTTATCATAGTTTTGTGATTATTGTCTTACTTTTATCTCTCGCATTTTCTTTAGTTGAATTTTTATTTAACTCTCTGTTACGCTTTTATTCGTCAGATATACAATTAAAACAAATGCTTTTTCACGTTGAAAAGAGTTATTAGCGTCTACAAGTGTGATTGTCAGTGTTAGCAGCGCGATGATAAATTGTAACAACAAAATCCCCAGGCGTTGACTTTTGCAAACAAATGAAATCATCGCTCGTCGTCCGTACGATTGTTATTTATTTATTTATTTATTTATAGTGCAAGTTACTTATTTTATTTTATTTATATATTTTTTTTAAAGAAACCAGAAAAACTTCAGTAAAGCAA